TTAAGTCTTGGCATGCTCTTTAACATACTTTAATTTTGGAGCATTTGGATGAGTATGAAAATTTAAAGATTTTAATTAAATGAATTAATTAAAATCGATTTAAGGGTTCTATTGGCTTAATTGAGTTTTAAACTTGATATTTGAAATGACTGGAACTTGTTTACTAGCATATATTAATTTGGGACCATTTGAAGTTGCTTTAAAAGTTAGAGATTTAATTATCATGATTTAATTAAATTCTACTTTGTTGTTCCATTGGCTTAATTAAGATTTTGAATTGATGTATGTAATGGCTATGCAATGTTATTTAACATGTGTTAATTAGTGATCATTTGATTGAGATTTGAAACTTAGAGAAATTAATTAGTTTATTTAATTAATTTTCGTTTCTATAGCGTTAATGATTTAAACATGTGTTTGACATTGGTTATATGTTTAAATCATGATTTTAGACTTGTATTAGATTTATGAGTTTATGATTTCAATGTTGAGATATATTGTTATAACGTGTAACGAATTGCACACTGAAGATTCGACATTTGTCATGCCTTACTAGTTGTGGACTTAGAACATGTATTGTATGTGTTTCCAAATTCGGTTATGCATGGTAGGTAGTTGATTATCTTGTATATACATGTTGATATATACGTTGTTGCATAACTTGCTGATTTTGGAAACTTGGGGATGTGGTTGATTGACTACAGTTAGGACATGGTTCTAGTACGGGGAATTGTCCCTCTACAGTCTAGTGCACACATAGGGAGGTTACCCATGGGCTAGTAACCCTAAAGTAACTATGGTGTCAGTCTGATCCGGCGTGATGTCCAAGTATCCACTTTGTTTGATTTCGCATTTCATTTGAAGTTGATAACTAGATGATATCGTAACTTATTGTTCTTTAATTGGTTTCCCATTTTGAGTTTTAAAATGTTAACTTAGAGAAATCATGCTTTATGCGTTGTGTTGGAAGTTCTAATGTTGGTTAAATTGGATCGATATTGTGATTTGTGTTTTGATGTTCAAATGTAACTTAGGATATCCTATAGATTCATTTAGAACATAAACGTTAGGCAGCATGATCCACTTTGGTTGTTTTCGTGTTTTAGATTTTAAGTTGAGGACTTTGAGACTCTATATCTTGTTGATTTGTATAACATGCTTTTATATTATTTAAATTGCATGAATGATGTGATTTATGCTAAAAATGATCTAAGGTAGCTTAGGATGCTCCTTAAGTCTCATCTTGACATAGACGTTAGGTGGCATGAGCCCATTTAACATGTTTCACCTTAAGATGATAATTTTGTAAAATGCTAGGTCGATGCATGCTCATTTCCTACGAGTAGCTTAATGTTACTCACCCTGAAGTTACTGAGGATTTGTTTCAGGTACGAAGACTTGGATCGTGATGCTCATCATTCCTTGAATGACTTGTAACTTTTAAATTTCCATTTCATGCAAATGTTAGAATGAAATGTCATTTTGTAGCCTTATATATCAAAACTTGTATCTTTGATTCCATATATGTAATGTGTACACAAGTACACCTTTTATGATGTATTTGACATGTATGAGATGAGGCCGGCTGCCAATGACATGTATTTTGTATCCTATGTAATTTTTTGACTTCATGAAATATTATGAAAATATCGAAAAATGTTGAGTTATTGCTTCACCATGGTTGCACTGGATGTGAGAATTCCATTTTCATTCTTTCATAGGGTCTCATTAATCATGTTTGAAGTGTGGCCAAAGGCCAAACAGTAATTTGAAATCATTTGTTAATTTTGGTTTTCAAATTTCCCATTTTGTGTTCATTTTCGCCTTTTTGGTCGTTGGGGAGTCGGATTCTGCATCGGCTGTATTTTTAAGCCGTGGACCATTGTAGTACGTCCAAATAGGTAAGTTACGTTTGCGTGCATGATCGTTTTCAAAAAAACTTCATCCTTGGTGATTTGAGCCTCCTATGGACTCATTTTGCATTTTTATTGCATAATATGATTTTAGGGCATTTTGGAATTTCCTTCGAGAAATAAATTCCGGTCTTTAAATGGTCACTTAAAACGTGATTTTGGGAGGGGGGATTCTTTATATTTTTTCAGAAAATGTCGTCTTGGTATCGGAAATCCCTCGCAAAGTTCAACTTTCAGTTTTGTATTTTAGCAGTTTTTTAACCCTTATGACCAGATTTCATGGAGGGGCATTTTGGGCATTTTACAGCGAGTTTTTTTCATTTCCTCTTACATAGCCGGGTACAAAATTTGATTTTGAGAGGGGTTTCTTTTTTGTGTTTTTCCAGAAAAATTCGTTTGATAACCCGTTTCTGCTCTCAGATCAGGACAGTTACTGTGGCAGCTTTTTGCCCTCTTGTCCAGCTCTGATCTATGGGCATTTTAGGGATTTTGCAGTGTGTCTTTTTCGTTTCCTTCCGCGTGGTCGGGTTGAAAACTCGATTTTAGGGGGGTTTCTTCTGTGTTTTTCCAGAAAAATTCGTTTCAGACCTCGTTTCGGCTCTCAGTTCTGGCTGAACTATTTTCTTTCCTAGCATGTCATGGTGCTTGTCGGTGTGCTCGTGGGGTACTCGTCTCAACGTCATGACGTCGACTTTTGTTTTCGCTCGTTCTCCTTCGTTCGGACTCCAAATTGAGTGAAATTTTTTTTGAACTTAGCTAATTTTTCGCTGTCTTTCTAACGGTGTGCTTGATTACACCTGGATCTTCCTGGATAATTACCAGTTTACCCTTTTTGCCTTAAGTGCTCGTTTTTCTTCGTCATGTCGTTTCTCCTTCGTCCGGACTCCGAATCATGTGATTCTTGAATCCATCTTGATTAATTTTTCATTGTCTTTCCAACGGTGTGCTCGGTGACAACCGAATTTATATTTTTAGAAAATTACCATTTTACCCCTGGGGGCTTATTTGTCATATTTTCGATCTTTTGCTTCCGCATCAATTCTCATTGAGTTCCACGACCTTATGGAAGGTCACTTTGACTCTTATAGTCTTATTTTTTGTTCTCGCTTCCGCATTTGGATCCATTATTGGGTCAATCTTCGGTTCATCACAAGACGCACCAGCTTGAAAAAGTAGGGCTGTCACATGTAGGAACACAAATGCTCGACATGGAATCCACACTCTTTAAGAGTCAGAATATCCCCTTGATGCAATTTAATAAGTTTAATCACTAGAACTTGGCGAGAGCATATTATTAAAATGTTTACTAAATTATTTTTCTATTTATTTATTTGAAAAAATATTTATTTTTTAAAATTCTTTTGCAAAAGAATTTAATTCAGTGATCATAAGGATTAAATTGGTTACTCAAGGAATATAAGATATAAGTAAGCCTTAGCTGGGACGGTATATATTATCCTGTGGCCACTTATAGATATTCAGTAGTAGAGGGATTTATATGTAATTATTTAGTAGGATAAAGCCTTACTATACTTTCCAAATCTTAGAGTGCAATTACAATAATATGGTGGTAATTATTGTAATTAATTGAATATGGTAGAGTTATGAGATAACTCAACCTTTATCTAATTGGAGCTAAGATGAGGATTCCCTTTGATACTCATCTCTAGCCTATCACTTAGATGGTGCATATATGGTTGTTGCCCTAATGTCTCTATTAAAAAATAATAAAGGTAACAAAAGTCTTCTGAACATAGAGAGAGTGAGGCTAATAGACATCCGGTTCCCACAAGCCAGACCATCTATTCCAGGGTTATAGAGGTAAAGTTTCACTGGTGTTCAAGGTTAAAGGAAAATTGGTGTTCAAGGCTAAAAGAGGAGTAAGTCCAGTTCACTGTTATTCTCGAAGTGTTGATGACTAATTAATCGTCTAAAGATATGAGATTATTTTTCAGTACTTTTTGATTTGTGAAAAATCACGTGGTTAAGATCCATATATTTTTTTAAATCACTTCCTTTTTGCTTTCAATTGTATCAGGGCAAACCACCAGATTTTCATCTAATCATTGTGATGATTTAATTTTTAAATTGTTGTCCATGCATATATTGATTTTATTCATGGCCTGCAATGATTTTAATTTCGTGAATAAAATATTTTTGATTGGTTCACCAATGCAAGTCGTTGCATAGGCAACTGTTCACTGGTTGATTAAGTTTTGAATATTGTTTATGGATTTAAACAGTATAATATGTGCATTCTAAATCATGTAAGAAGTCTATCTATTGGATTGGGTAATATTCTTTAGATATGATTATCAATTTGTGGCTCACATTGAATAAAAATAATGGGTCTCTCCAATGATTTTGTGCAAGATTCCCACTGATGAGTTGTAATGGTGGTATTTTGTGATTCTCAATTTGATTATGAAATTGATATATTTTTGAAGCGGCTTACATTAGAACCCCATATAATTGGGGTGTTAAATAAGTAAGTAAAAGAAGGTAATTACCGATTCATGTCCTTTTAAATAATGGTGACCATTATTACTGTGGTATATTAATTAATAGCATGTTAAAATTAAGATAAAATGTATCCTTTGATTACTTTGATATAAAGGGATTCGGCAGCCGCTACTGTACATGGGGACTTCCCATGTGATGGGTTGTCCTAGCAAATACAAATTAAACCTCTGGATACTTTGGAAGATTTAATTTGTAAGAAAGTTTTAATTGAAGGCTCATTCAAAAGTTTTTGGATTTAATTTAGTGAGTTGTTTATTGTTTGATATTGCACATGGGTCTATTACTTTAATTAGTAGACATCATATAATGGAAAAATACCAAATATTAGGTTTCTGATTTTCCATGACACTTAATAATGTGTGGCTGGCTCATGTAATGGGCTTCCAGTATGTAAATACCAAAATTTGGGTATCACAATTTGTGGGGGCCGCATAAAGCAGCCATGTACATGGGTATGGCAATAATTTCATAGAGACACCCTATTATGCCTTCCACTCATTTTTCTTCATCACGTTTATAATATGTTCATCAGGGCATAACACAAACTATGAACTGTGATCCACTTTTGTTGTGCACTTGTTCTACTTTGACTCATCTATAGACACCCTATTATGCCTTCCACTCATTTTTCTTCATCACGTTTATAATATGTTCATCAGGGCATAACACAAACTATGAACTGTGATCCACTTTTGTTGTGCACTTGTTCTACTTTGACTCATCTATAGACACCCTATTATGCCTTCCACTCATTTTTCTTCATCACGTTTATAATATGTTCATCAGGGCATAACACAAACTATGAACTGTGATCCACTTTTGTTGTGCACTTGTTCTACTTTGACTCATCTATATATTCAATCTCAAAACAACCCAAACACCGAAAAATCAATAACAATGGAGTCATTCCTCCCAATGCTCCCAACAATTGTTAGGCTTTCTATATATCCACTTCTTTTTGTTGTTTGCTTTGTGATATGGAGGACAAGAGTTGGTCACGGCCGAAACACAGCTAGTAAGAAAAGACTAGCACCCCAAGCTACTGGTGCATTGCCTTTGATCGGTCACCTCCATCTCTTAGGACGCTCTCAATTGCCACACATTACCTTAGGTTCTATGGCTGACAAGTACGGCCCAATCTTCACCATAAAGCTCGGGTTAAACCGAGCATTGGTAGTGAGTGATTGGGAGATGGCTAAAGAATGTTTCACCACCAACGACAAGGTCTTCGCCAACCGTCCAAGCTCTTTAGCAGTGGAGCTCATGACCTACAACTATGCCATGTTTGGTTTGGGTCCTTACGGCGATAACTGGCGCAAGGCCAAAAAGATAGTCATGCATGAGCTTCTCTCTAACCGCGCGCTTGATATGCTACGACATATCAGAGTATCAGAGGTAAGAACTTCCATAAGAGAAGTATATGACTTATGGGTTAAGAAAGAAAGTACTTCAAATGTGGTCAAGTTGGAAATGAAGCAATGGTTCGCAAATTTTACCCTAAATGTGATGGTTAGGATGCTTGTAGGGAAGCGATATTTGAGCGACGATGAAGAGGGGGCAGGAGTTGGGAAGGCGATCACAGAGTTCTTTGAATTGCTGGGGGTGTTTGTGGTGTCCGATGCCATACCTTTCCTGAGGTGTTTGGATTTGGGAGGGTACGAGAAGGCCATGAAGAAGACAGCCAAAGAAATGGACCATATAATTGAAGGTTGGTTACAGGAGCATAAAAGAAAGAGAGACTTTGGCATGGTGAAGAGTGATCAACAAGACTTCATGGATGTGATACTGTCCCTTCTTGACAGTACAAGGGCCGAAGAACTTCCCGATTTCGATGCTCATACAATCAGTAAAGCTACATGCCTGGTATATGTTCTACAACCAAGTTGATTTTGATTTACATGTTATATATATATTGTTTGATTTAGTGATTTAGATGTAGTTCGTTAATTCATCAAGTTTGAGTAAGCTCCAACTTGGCTTGAATTCATTTTGATCGATTAAGTTGTATTAGATCAGATTAAAAGGAGCTGTCTAATGGTGTAACATAAACAGTGTAGAAAGTCCTCCTCAGTAAGGATTTCTTGAGAAACAAATTCTTAGGCACATTGACATTGATCATCAGGGGCTCGGCCAGAAATATTTATTTAGGAGCCAAACTAGTAATATAAAATTAAATTTTAAAAATAATTGAATTTTATTTTATTTTATTTTATTTTATTTGTATGTGAAGTCACATAAATTTGACTTCACCATTGATCTATAACCATACGTAAGCTTCCAAATTATGATTGGCCCCAAAACAGATCATCTTGTATCACCTGCTTTATAACTATCATTACATTTTCTTTCCATTATCAAATTATCAAAAAAATATTGAATGGCTAAAATTTCTTTCATGAAAATCTATCTACTACAGGGAATGCTAACAGCGGGCACCGACCCTACGACTGTGACGCTGACTTGGACTCTCTCATTGCTCATGAACAATCGACATGTTCTCAGAAAGGTCCAAGACGAGATTGATGTCCACATTGGAAGGGGACGACTAGTGGAAGAGACGGATGTGAAGAACTTAGTCTACCTCCAAGCCGTCCTCAAAGAAACACTACGTCTTTACCCACCTGGACCACTCTCTGTACCACATGAGTCCACTGAGGACTGCGTTGTGGGTGGCTACAATATCCCGAAGAGCACACGCCTATTGGTGAACCTGTGGAAGATACATCGCGATCCTCTAGTATGGTCCGATCCAAATGAGTTTCAACCCGAGAGGTTCTTGACTGGCCACAAGGATGTCGATGTTAGGGGGCAGCATTTCGGGTTGATACCATTTGGTAGTGGAAGAAGAATGTGTTCTGGAATTTCTTTGAGCCTCCAAATTATGCAATTTACACTGGCTAGTTTGATTCATGGGTTTGAACTTGGAACTCCTTTATACGAACCGGTGGATATGAGTGAGAGCTTTGGGCTAACCAACCTCAAAGCCACCCCATTGGAGGTCCTTCTTACCCCTCGTTTGCCTGCTATCCTATATACACATGATAACTAGCTATACAATATGAAGTGTTAGAAAATCATGATAAAAAGTATGTGAACTTTGTATGTGTTTACGTTCGTGAGTGGTTTATGGGTTGAATATGAACGGACTCTATTTTTATTTATTTTTAAATAATAATGCATATGGTATTATTCGACCTTGGGATATTTTATTTATATTTTCATTCGGTTAAAGGTTTTTTTTATATATAATATATATATATATATATATATATATATATATATTATATTTTTTTCCTGACAAATTATGGAAATGGAATTGGTACACTCACTGCTCTACCAATTAAGATAAAGTTTAGAACTGAAGGTAGATTTCATCCGACAAGATTTTACAAAAGATTTGATTAGATCTCTGTCGTCTCAAGTTTTGCTAACGTTAAAAAATGGTTCATAAGCGCATGACGCAATCCAAGAACTGTGATCCACTTTTGTTGTACAATAATTCTGCTTTTGCTCATCTGCATATTAAATCTCAAAACAACCCAAACACACAGAAAAATCAATAGCAATGAAGTCACTCCTCCCAATACTTCCAACAACTGGAATGCTTGCTATACGTCCACTTCTTTTTGTTCTTTGCTTTGTGCTATGGATGGCAAGAGTTGGTCACAGAAACACGGCTAGTAAGAGGCACCCAAAGCTAAAGGTGCCTTGCCTTAGATCCGTCAACTCCATCTCTTAGGCCACTCTCTATTACCACACGACCTTAGGTTCTATGGCCAACAAGTACGGTTCAATCTTCACCATGAAGCTCGGGATAAACCAAGCATTGGTTGTGAGCAAGACCCGCCCTGAGATTTCTAAAATTTTGAGAGGTTTTAGGCAAAGTTTCAAATGCAAGACCTTTATACATAAGGTTTTACCCCGCAAAAAATTTATGAGAGTATGAAATTTTCATTAAAATGATATAATAAACACCAAGGGCGGCTCAAAATAATTTGACGCCTTAGGAGAATTTTTTTAATAATATATTAATATTAAATACTCCGAATTGGAGGCGGCCCTAGTTGTGAGTGAATGGGAGATAGTTAAAGAATGTTTCACCACCAACGACAAGGTCTTCGCCAACCGTCCAAGGTCTCTAACAGTGGACCTCTTGACCAACAACCATGCCATGTTTGGTTTCAGTCATTTCCGCAATTACTAGCACCAAGTCCGAAAAGTTGGTCATGCTTGATCTTCTCTCCAACCGCCCCCTCGATATGCTTGGACATATCCGAGTATCAGAGATAAGTGTTGGGATTTATATGTCCTGACATAGCAAATTCCTATTTGGATTAAAGTGACATGTTCCTAAAATATTTGAAATATTTATGCTTTATACAATTGGTGAATTCAATGTATTATCTTTCGATTCATTATGAAATTAATAGTGTCCACTTAATTACAAGAGATATTTATATATCTATGTGATGACGATCAATACATGAACATAAATAATTCATAGTCGGTAATTATGGATGGATTCATTATTAACTAAGACTTGAACTGGATCCGTGTTAGGTTGAGATATATTGCGAGAGCCGTCGTATGCAATTGCTCCCTATCACCGTCATGACATTTGACTCTTAAGTATGAGAGAAACTCTTTTATTAATTAGTAATTACTTTGATTTATTCGGCGGAATCTTCGGAATCCATAGACCAGCATTTCGGCGGAATCTTCGGAATCCATAGACCAGCATTTTGGGTAATTATGTAATTAATAGTTAGAGGGTTATATTTTCAATATTTGAATCATTGCTACTTGTATTTATTTTGTATTGATTATAGTTGATCACAAAATAAATTCGAAGGTCTTCGTGTGTTTTTAGACAAAATGATTCTCTATATATTTATTTATTTAAATTATTATTTTTGTCAAAGAAATGTTTTATTGTGATCAAGTCAGAAATAATCAAAGGTACCAAAATAAATATATTAATTAAGTAATCGGATTAATGGCTTTATTTATCCGATAACTAATTATGCATAGAGGGTCAAAGTGCAACATTGACTTAGAGGTTATTTATTATTTAATTGGAGTTCAATTAATTTATTTTAGTAGAGTAGAAATTAATAAATAAATTAGTTTAATTGGGTTCATGGATCGGGCCAATTATTAATTCATTGTAGTCAAGAAAATAATAAGCCCAAAGGATTCTCACTCATAGCCCAATTTGATATTGGAATCTTATTAGATTTGAGACATCACGTTACTTTTAGAGATTGAAAAAAAATATAATGTCTTTAATTGGTATTTTTATGTTGCCTATATATACATGGAGTCCATGTATATTTTAGGTTACGCTTTTGTGAAATAATTTTAGAAGACAAGAAAATATTTTCTCTCTATAGAATTTTAGGGCTAGTGTTCTCATCTAATGGAGGCTCTCACAAGCTAAGCTTTCCAAGGTCATTTATGGAGGCTTATGGGTGATTCCTAAAAGTAAGACCATTACCAAGAAGATGGAAATCCAAGGAGAAAATAGCTAACAAAGAGATCTACAATAAGTGAGAACATTCACTTTAGAGGGGGGGTTTAAAGTTTACTCAAACCTTGATGCAAGTTTTCTATCCTTAAATTGAATGGATCATTATATTCTTCATGCATAAAACTTGTCTCTACACATGAATCAAGATCTCTAGAAGTTTTTAAAAGCTTTTGTTTTCCTAATAGTGGTATCAGAGCTAGATTTGATTCATGTATAGAGTTCATAGTTTTTATTGAAGAAAATCATCATTCATGGATCCAAATTTATATATGCATATATATATATATATATATATATATATATATATTAATATATGATCATGATGTATGTATATTTGTGATTGGATGATGTTGATGTATGTTTGGGCCATGGATGAAGCTTATAGGTTAATTGAATGTAATTTTATCTTTGAATGAATGTAATTAAGGCTTTGATTTAGCCATTTGAAAGTTCAATGATGTAATTTAATTTTTTTCATTGTATTTCAAGTGTAAATATTTTTTAAAGTCACGTAATCTTAATCAAATAATGCTATGAAGCTTCAAGAAGGTCCAAGAGTGTTTAATTTGGCATCAGGATTTTTCTTAAATTTTTTAGAATTTTTCTGAAATTTTTCTGGAATTTTTTTGGGCCAAGTAATGATTTCTGGGATTTTTCTAAATTTTTTAAGGCCCTAATTTAATTTCTGGAATTTTTTTATTAATATTCTAGAATTTCGGCAATTTTTCAGCGACCGGAGGGCCGTTGGCAGCAATGGCGGTGCCGGAAGTGTAGACTGCTGATCCAGTGCTTCATGGTGCATGATTAAACGGTGCAACCGGATCCGTAGCCACTGGATTACATTCATCAGGAGAGATCATCATAATGCGGTGACATGATCTGGTACAGGCACACCAATGGTGCACCTGAAGCGCACCCAATCCAAAAGCGAATGCTACACACGCGCTAAGCATTGTGGCACCTGCAGGCGCGTGCCAGAGCGTAGCACGCCCAGGCAACTCCCAAACGCGCATGGGAGCGCATGCCATGCGCAGCCAACTCCCAACAGCGCATGTAAGTGTGTGGGGGCGCGAGGCACACGCTTGAAACCTTTCCTGGCCCTTGCAGGCATGTCAAATACGCGTAGAAGCATCCGATTGTGTCTAGTAGCGCATGGGGTCAGGTTACAGCCTCCTGCAGGTGTACATAAGCCTATGATAGACCCTCGCGAAATTATTAGAGCATTTAAATGTTAAAAGCGAAATCCATTGGCCATTTTATTTGCTTTATTCTATCTTTCATTTATTTTTTTTATTTATGTGATGTATGAAATGCATGGAATAGATAATTGTTAATTAATTATTATTCATGCATTGGATCTATGATATTTATTTAAATGACTTGATTTATATTAATTAAATTATGAAAATTAATTAAATTTAATTACTAATTAATTAGTGAGCACTTAAGGGGAAACAAAAAATTATTTTTGAAAATTTATTTTATTTTTTAAAAGGTGTGCCTCAAATTAAATATTAGTGAATCATTTAAAGTCCAAATATTTTCTAAATTTAATTGGATTAAGATCAAGGCATTTTGCATGCATTATATCATGTAAATGAATAAATTGAAAACCCTAATTATAACTTATTAAAAGTTGAGTGGGAGCAGGGATTTTTATACATTACCCCATGGCCTTCATTATTATAACCATTGTAATTAGATCTTCAAAAATAAGGCCCCACGCATGATTTGAAGATTCTAAAAATTACAATAATGGTTGTCTCACGAAAATAAAAATATTAAATGTTCATTGTAATTAGATCTTTAAAAATAAGGCACTACGCATGATTTAAAGAGTCTAGATTATAATGACAAGATATTTAATGTTTTATTTTTCGTTGGAGCATTAATAACGTTATACACTCAGTCTAAAATCAATTGTGTTAACTCCCCAACAGAGTGGTTTACACTATATGATTTTAGAAAGGTTAAACATAATCGGGAATCATTTCATATATATAGACAAGGCATTGTCTTAAGAGATATGGAAATGATGGGATTTGCCCGCCAATAATAACAATGAACTTCGCCAACCGAATAAGTTATTGGCGTATTGGTTATCTGATTTTTCATGCAAAGTGGTTAAGGGACCCACATATTATTATTTTAAAGAAAGTGCTCGCCTAATAACAAAAGAATCTCAACAATAGTAATAATAAACTCCTCCATCAAGATAAGTTATTGATGTATTGATTGTGTGATTTATTATGCTACGAAGTTGAGGGACTCACATTAATTAAAAGGGATTGTTCACCAATAGTGATAATGTACTCTTATTCTATTGAGATTTATTATATTATGTGGTTGACAAACTCATTTTAATTTTAAATATGCATGATAGTATTAATAATTCACCTGCATATTGTATGAATGCATTTATATTCAGATTATTTATGTCTGCTTGCTGACATTTTCAATATAACTGAACCTCATTTATACGGACTGAAAAAGGAACTTAAATATTTTATTCACAACGTAAGGATACAAATGTATTTATTACTCTTATACCTAATCCTTTTACTTTAAGATACCCAAAAGAACATTAATGCTTTTAATAAGTTAAATAAGGCAAATGACATTGCTCGATGCATTATTTTAGAGTTTATCTCGAATACGTTCTAAAGCTTACA